CTTCTTTTTAACTTACCTGACGTCCACGCCGTCGACGACGCGGTTTCGGTGAGTGCCTCGACCACGATAGCGTCGTCTCTGCTGTCGTAGTCCGCCGTCGGTAAGACGTTTTGCGAGTGGAAAGAATTCGTCGTCTCGGTGGTCGCGTCTAGGGGAAACGATGAGATTGCCGACTGCGCGGTGTCATTTTTCAGCCAATCGATTCGAACTCCTGTAAAGAACCGAACGAAGTACGTGGGTAGTCGATGTAACGTCGTTTCCGCGCCACCTAGTTACCCGTTTCCATCTCTTCCTCCGCCTCGTTCTCTCGTCGATCGTCGAACGTCTGAGTTTGCTCGTCGTGGCGGGACGATACCGTCGGTGTCGCGATCGTTCCCGTCGAGAAATCGTCGAACAGCGGTAAAGGTCTAACCAGATCGTCGGGTCGACAAATATCGTTTTCGCGACGCATAGGCGCCGTGCATTGGCAACGTCCGAACAAGTTGGGAATCAAGAAGTCGCAGTGTGAGTTCCGCTGCCATAGACGACAATGGGCATGCTCGTAGCAAACTTGGCCAAGTTTCGCCGCTGAAACGTTACGAAATAACGCGCGTTCGATCGATCTCTCATCGAAGATTAATCCCTGCTTACTCGAACTCGTCGAAGCTTCGACGAAGGGCATACGACGAGACCGGCAAGCGATTCGAGCTATCGTCTCGTTCGAATCTGACGGTTTTCGATATAGTCCAGTCTCGGACGCAATGTTAAACGGCATGTGAAATATTCTTGCGCCATATCGTTTCTCCGACGTACTCGACTTTTTTAATAATTCCGTCTCGTCGTTCGGATTAGACGGTGTTGAAGAGGATCTCGTACATACAGACGATGTCGACGATAAAGCGCAAATGTCGACAAGCCGAAAGGATCAGAAAACTTCGATAGGCCTAACGGCCATCGATAATATCCTTTGAAGATCAACCGCAGTCGTTGATTATGCATTAAGTTCAAGTTAAATAATCACCGTTTTTTATTTAATCCACTGTAATAAATCCATCTATCGATACGTTATCATATGGCATAGAAACCACTGGAAATCCTAATTTCTAATATTTCCGAATAAAGAATCTCTATAATGCGTTCATTGACGCGTTTGCCCTCTATATTCCGAGATACGAAACTTCAACTGTCCATAGACCATACACAGTTAGGATAGACATTGTGATAAACGTATTATTGGTACCACGTTCGCGCAAGAATATTTCAAGTACCATCTGACGTGGAATTTAGCCTTTTTCGATTTCACTGGACCGATACGAAACGAGCGAAACACGCGTAAGGTCATGGTTACTCTAAACGAGTGGTCGGACGAAGCGACGTTTACAAATATCCGGAGACTGCGCTTCTCAGACTCGGGCAAACGAGCTTAGAAAAACTCGTAGGAATTCTATTTTCGTCGATTCGTCCGCTGTAGCTTGAAGAACGGTTTAACGATCGCGTCTACTTACGACCCAGACACGTGTGCCGACGAAATTGGAGGAAACCATCCCTGCAGCCGCAGAAACCATCCAAGCAGCCGCTGTTGGCTACTTTCAAGGTGCATTGCTCGTCGACGAGACACTCCTGGCCCAAAAGAGTCGCTGCATATCGCCGCGAGAAAGGAAACAGCGCTCGTTGTTATATTCTCGCCGCCGAAACGAGGCTCGTAATCGCAACAAATTCTCACCCTCGAGGCAGTACGTTCCGTTGTACGCGGCAAAGTAGGGCAAACAGCGACAATAGCCATTCCGACAGTGACTACCCTCGATGCTGGAATCGCATTCCGCGTCCCTGGTACATCGCTCGTCCAGCCGCGCGCTCGCTGTCCTCGCTGTCGAGCCCACAACGATCGTCCCCTGAAACGCGCATCGCAATCTTGTCGTATTCCCGTTTGCCTGACGACGGCAAAGAGTAAACCAGAACCGCAGCTCGTTTCTTCGTTTATCCGGAAGGAAACGAGCGCGAACCAGCCTGGCTTGCCCGTCGCCCGTTTGCTCGTCTTTTCCACGCGTTCGATTCATACGCGCCCCACTACCACCTCTCACCCTGTTTCCTGTCCCATTACCTCGATCGCGTTTGCCAGTTTCTCATCTCATCGTCGAACAATAAGCGCGGACAAACGCGCCGCGAATACGGTAAAAACTGCTGGCAATACGGAAGAATCAAGCCGGGTAGAATGGAAAGAGCAGGGCCGTAAAGAAGAGACAAAGGTAGTTGGGAAAAAAAAAGAGGGAGGGGGGAAGACGGAATACGTCGAACGTACAACGTCGCGAGAGAAATGGAAGAATCGCTAACGGAGGAGAAGAGGGGACGACGACCGACGCATGGCGATGCTCGGAAGGAAGTAAGCGCGAAACGAGACGACGTGGCGCGACATTCGCGTCCCGAGTTTAAAGTAGCCGCGTAACATGCACCGTTAATCAGGTGTTGCCAACGAGCACTTAGAGTTTCCAGTTCCTGCAAGACGACGTTTGTTTTCGCGGGAACGGCCGTTTACGCGGCTGACGCACCGCACTTCCATTTCCGCGTGTTTCGCGCCCGTCGGCTCGCTTCACCCGCCCTATCTTCTTCCCGACCGCGAAACCGTAAATCTTGGCGATCACGTAGCGCGCGAATTTGCGTCGGAGATGGTCCACCGTCGAACGAAACTCACCAAACGATCGATCGCGATCGCAAACAGAAGAAGGACGATCGTTTCAGCGTTGCCACGCATCGTTCTCTCGGCTGCACGGCTCTTCGCCTCGACGATCGATGGTCGATCGATCGATCACGCTGTATCTTCCTCTTCTTCCGCGTCGAGAGCGTGCTCGCGACGAACGACTCGATCTATCTCGCACGAGTACCCGTCGCGACTGCGATGTCCGCGCGTTCTTCGCAATGACTGAAAGCAAACGGCGACCCTGGCTGCTTTTGGTCCCCGTGCACGAACGATGCAAAAGCGGACACAACTGTGTTCCCTCGCTCTCCCACCTCTTTACCGCGCTCTCGGTCTTCGTCTCGGTCTATGTTCCGGACTTCTGGTCTCGATCCTTCTTCGAGTCACTACTCACTCTCCCTTCCGCGATCGTAGCGTATCGTGATCGGCAAATTCGCGGTTCGTTTGGACAATGTTTTGCCCGCTTAGCGTCTATGCCTATGACGCGACTCTTCGAGAATAATAGTTGGAACTGTCGGACGAGGTAACAACGACGAGGAACGAGCAAGACGGAAATGGAAAAGGTAAGAAGCAAGGGTGACGAACGAATAATATTCGGGTCACGCGCAGACTGCTTCAAAATTCATTGGTATTCCAATACGAAACGAGCAACGAACTTGGTCGTGATCCACCCCTTCTCTTCTTCTTCTTCCTGCTCGATCGGCCGCGCTTCCCTTTCACATCGTCTTCCTCGTCGTCTTGCCCGTTGTGTTACTCGTCGCACCGGTACATCTACCGGTGCATGTGGTTTCGTTAATTTCTACTCCTCGAGGAAGATTGGTCGCTCGACCGAACGGTATCGTTAACCTACCGTTTCGTCGGCACGTCATCGTTTCACGAGCTACCCTTGGCCCGTATCCGACTCGTGATCGAGACGCGAGTGACGGCCAGTCCTTCGGACTCTTTCTTTAGGTCCGCTCGATAAGCCGAAAGAAGGAGGCGTGAAGCGGGAAGCGGGAAGCGGGAAACGGCACGCGGTGAGTCGCCCGAGAAACAGGAAGCGCCGCGATGGACTACGTTGGAATGTAAATGGAGAATCGACCGAGACCCGAGAACAAAAGAAAAGCCAACCGCGAGAAACGCGTAGTGCGCGTTGGGTGCGAGGTAAAAGACCTACACGGAAGTGCCATAAAATTCTGCAGGGCTCGAAGCAAGATGGGAAATGATCGCTTCGTCGAAATCTTTGCCAGTTCGTTTTAATCCGTGAACGAATAATTTCCTCTCGTCTGTACTTTCGAAAGGCACCCGTGGCTGATCTAGACGAAATTTTGTACACATCGTAGGATCAAATAATAAATCTAAAATATAAAATTTTAGCTTCGGCAGATAGTACAGATTCGGAAGATACAGCAGATCCCTGTATAGTGTTATATATATACATATATATATATATATATATATATATATATATATATATATATATATATATATATAATAGATCTTTATACTAATCTTAAACGCAATATATCGTGTGTTGGTTTGGGTTAGGTTAATCACTGAAACGTGAAATAAATCGGTCGAAAACACTGTCACCAACATCACCTAATAGCAGCAAGGATCTATTATATCGCGTATGTATAGGGGCCTCTGCCTTCGGAACACACGATTTGTCAACAACATCCTTGCTTTGTCTGTCCGAGTGTTTGTATTGTAGCACATTTTGTGTGCTACGAAACAAGCGACGGGTGAGGGAAGATTGCTAGCGTACCGACCTTGCTATTTACAAAGTTCTTTTCGCACTTCGATTAGACGATCGATCTCACCTTGGTGCTGTACGATTGCTCGTTCCATCCGCGATTATCTTCGAGAAATGTGCGAATAAGGATGTCCGGAATCCATTTAAATATCTACCTTAATTTATCTCACGTTTCATTCTGAATGGATCCCAATTCTATGCTCTTATCTGACCGAGTATCTCGAAATTATGCTCTAACGACGGTAATGATAATCCTCCCGATCCCCGCACCTTCTATACCTTCTTCTTTTTCTCGTGCCTCGTTATTCTCTTCGAATTAATTAGATCTCACTTATTAATTTTGCCGCTCGTATACGAGTACATGCATCCTTGTTCCTGTTTTCTTCTCCGTTGAGATGATTTTGATCGTACTCCAGAAAACGTATCGTAAAAGCGTCTCTCGATCTAGGTCGTTTTTAATTTTGCCAAAATTTCGTTTACTAATTTCGTTTTGAAACTTTCCATACCGACGATGTAAGCGATATTTGAAAAAAGCCGCTCTTTCAACATCTTTCACGGAATTGGATTACCGCATGTGGATGGTTTCACCCAATCAAAAAATGGGAGGGCGAACACTACGTAAGATTTTATATAGTCGACATTTCTAGAATATTTATCGGTAACAAATTGCTTTTAGACTCTTTCTTGCGTCGAATGCTGTTCGAAAAGATAGGAAAAGATAAGTAAAAGCAAAACGTTAATGTGTACATCCGAGCGAATTGTAATCATAGATATTACGCAATTCGTCCAATAGCTTGTCCGTACGCGTCGCCCTCAGCGAGTTGGTTGTTCAGGGGTTTCGTTGGAAGCATAGGTTAAACGTTAAAGAAATTGTGCATCAAATATGATATTTGCTACGAAAATAATTTGCAATTCTGGTAAGTAGACGTAAAATCGCTTTGTATTGAATGAGTCGTTGCTTCGAGTCGGTGTTTCTTTAAGACAACGATAGAATGTAGAAAGATTTCGTAAAGATGGAAGCCACTCAAACGAAATTAAAATCGAAGAAACTTAAACTTTAATTTGCTCATCGATTGATTACAGATCATTGATAAAAGATTACATTTTTTTTTACTTTCAGCACTCAGGCACACTGCGAAGCAGCTATCTTTAGTTGAGCATCTTGTTAAACACGTAAGAAAATTACAATGGAATTTCCATAATCTCTACTTCCATGATACGTTTCTAAACTAAGCAGGGTATCTCAAAATAAAACCTTTCCTTTTAGGAATTTTATGGTCAGTTACGAGCAGGGGCATATTTACCAAGTCTGATAACGCAAAGGTTTTATAGCACGAAACAAGTGTTTAATAGGAATAAGCCCCATTGTAACATTGGTACAATTGGACATGTCGATCATGGAAAAACGACGCTTACAGCAGCTATTACCAAAGGTATATTTGGCAGTTGATTTTCATTTATATTAATCATTTTATCTGTTGCGTTTACTGTTGTCCTTGTCTGTTGTAGTTCTTTCTCAAATGGAACTCGCAAAAGCAAAAGAATACTCTGATATTGATAATGCACCCGAAGAAAAAGCACGTGGTATAACTATTAATATCGCGCATGTTGAATATCAGACAGAGAAACGTCATTATGGACATACCGATTGTCCAGGACATGCGGATTATATCAAAAACATGATTACTGGAACGTCACAGATGGATGGAGCTATACTTGTTGTTGCTGCTACAGATGGTACCATGCCACAAACCAGAGAGCATTTACTTCTTGCTAAGCAGATTGGTGTCCAGAGCGTTGTTGTTTTCATCAATAAGGTAAGATCTTTCGTGTAGTTGGTTGAGTAGTATCTATGTAAAAACTACCTCGTCCCTCTTCTCTGTTGTCAAAAACGTTATGTTTTTTTTTATTCATAAAGGTTGACATCGCAGACAATGAAATGGTCGATTTAGTAGAAATGGAAATAAGAGAATTGTTAACAGAAATGGGTTATGATGGAATAAACATACCTGTTATTAAAGGTAGTGCCCTTTGTGCGATGGACGGTACTAATCCAGATATAGGACGGAATGCTATAATAAAATTGTTAGAGGCTGTGGATTCTTATATTCCAAACCCTGTCAGAGAATTAGACAAACCTTTTGTCTTACCGATAGAAAGTGTTTACTCTGTTACGGGTAGAGGGACGGTAGTTACTGGCAGATTAGAACGTGGAAAAATAAAGAAGGGCATGGAATGTGAGGTGGTTGGGTACAATAAAATAATGAAGAGCACAATAACAGGAATAGAAATGTTTCATCAAACGTTAGAAGAAGCCGAGGCGGGAGACCAAATGGGTGCTTTGCTTAGAGGTTTAAAAAGAGATGACATTAAAAGGGGTATGATAATGTGTAAACCAGGAAGCTTGAAAGCCTACGATCATTTAGAATGTCAAATGTACATGCTGACTCCTGCGGAAGGAGGTAGAACAAAACCTATTTCTAATCTCATGCAGCTTCAAATGTTTTCAAAGACGTGGGATTGTGCAGTTCAGTTAAGTATGGAAATGAAGGACTTGATCATGCCTGGCGAAGACTCTAGGTAAATTTTCTTTAAATGTTATTAATCGATTCAACGATAAATCGATAAATCGATTCAACGTCAATATGGATTTTTATTTTCAGTGTTACGTTAAAATTGATAAGACCAATGGTGTGTGAAAAGGGCCAGCGATTTACATTAAGATTTAGCTCGATGTCTGTAGCAACTGGAGTAATCACGAATATTTTGTCAAATCTCAGCGAAGTCGAGCGATTAGAACTTCTCGCAGGTAAAAAGAAACTGAAGAAAGTTGCGGCAAAAGCTTAATTCAAATTTTTTTCTGCATTTATCGTGTGTCAGTCAATAAAACCATGTAGAATTAAATTCAACAAATAAACACACACATATATATGTAAAATATTCGACTCCGAAATATTACTTTCAGTTATGTTGAAAATTAATAAATTAATCTATATGTAATAATAATATAATAATATTTTGTATACAATTTTAATTTTCTGTTTTTAAAATGGTCGATTTTTATTATCGATAAAGCATAATTTCCTCAACAAATAGAGAATGCAAGTACTTTAAACGATTTGAAAATGTCTTAACTTTGAAAAAACAGTTCAACGATGATTTATTGAATCCAATACATCAACGGTACAAGTTGTTTTAAACAACAGATGAGACACCGATACGAAATATTTCGTTCTCCTCTTACTTCTGTTATTTCTTAACCATAGTTGTGCTATGGTGTTTGTGTACACATTACTTGGTGCATTCAATTGGCAATAAAATAAAGGAATTAGGGGAAGGACCATGTGCAACGCTTTGTCTCTCCATAACGAAACGAACGTATTTGTATAGAAAGAAAAAAACACTGTTTATATAATTTAAGTTGAACAAATGGTACATTCACCTTTGCTAATAAAAATAGTAAATAGTCCTCATTATCCTGGACAGGCGCAACTGACTACAAACTGTACTTCGCTCCAATCGAAATATTATTTCAAAATACAACGCTGTGTTTGAGAATCGTAGATTACTCGTAAAAACGACTGCTGGCACTGCACGCCTAATGCTTTCTTTTCCTTCTTCATTTATGTTCGTTGGATGATCCTGTGTGTACATACGCAAGGTAGCAGCAAAGATTATGTCATTTATTTGTAAAGATTGAACTACTTTGAGAATTTCTCAAATTTCGTGTGTGTGTATGTGTACACATGAGTGTGTACGCGCGTAAGCATATGCAGACGCATGTGTAAACAGTTGCTTTTAATATTAGCGCAGCGACTGTATCGAAAGATTCTTTCTTACAGAATTAATTTTTCACTTTTTTGCTTTACGAAGCAGCCCGTTCATTCATTCCACCACAGGTAATTCACGTACAATGTTTCAGCATACGATATTATAAAGTTAGCAACAGAAATCCGACAGCTTTGACACTATGCCTTAAAGCAAATCGACAATTCGGTTGATCGACAAGTTATGCATTCATTACACTAAATACATCGTTTCACACAACATACGTGTACTCACGCATACTCATATCAATTATACGTAAATAAAGGAAAGAACGACTGTAATCCACGATACGTAAAGTTTCATTGGGTCAATGTGTATCGGTCAAATCGTATTTTGAAACTGACTTGTATGGAATTAGACCTCGAGTCTAATTCACGCACGCAAATCATGACATGCGTGGAAACGCAATGTTCAATTCCTGGTATCATCTAACCTTTAAGACAAAACTCGAGAAACACGAATCGTCGAAATATTTTTATCATCGTATGACAGTTAAATATGAAACAGAAGTAATCGTACCCATTAATTCTATCCAAGAAAGAATCTCTGACTTATAGAGAGGCACAAGTACGTAACGTACTTAGTATGCACGTGTACGTATATGGTTTGCCCCTATTCGTATCATACACACGACATGGCAAACTAAAGATCTTCATCATCTTCTGGTAGTGCTGTCTCTTGTGCTTCCTTAAGATCTTTCTCTATCTGTTGCTGCCATTGTGGATCCATTGTAACTTCCGGAGGAAGGAGAGCCGGCATTGCAACAAATTCAAGATTTGCATCACCGATCAGCTTACGTCCCAACCATAAGAAAGGTTTCTCAAAATTGTAGTTGCTCTTTGCACTGATGTCGTAGTACTAAAGCAAACATAGAGAAAATTGTTGTTTCGATTAAATGTGCATTATGTCGACAGTTCCTATATTTAAAGGTAAGTTAGATTAGAAGAATGTAAATAGCTTAACATAAGTCAAACTAGAAAGATATTTGGTACATTACATACTGCAAGAAACGAGAAGAAAGAAAAGATTTGTAAAATCAAACTACAAAAATACTATATGCTTTGGACATGCTATTACCTGTAGATTCTTCTTCCTATGAAAGACGATGCTCTTGGCTTTTACTTTCCTATCCTTAATGTCAACTTTATTCCCACATAGAACTATAGGTATATTCTCACAAACACGAACCAAATCTCTATGCCAATTAGGTACGTTTTTGTACGTTACTCTTGACGTAACGTCAAACATAATGACAGCACATTGTCCTTGAATGTAATATCCGTCTCTCAGACCACCAAACTTTTCTTGACCAGCTGTATCCCAAACGTTGAAACGAATCGGACCACGGTTCGTGTGAAAGATCAGAGGATGTACCTCGACACCTAAAGTTGCGACATATTTTTTTTCGAATTCACCGGTCAAGTGCCGCTTGACGAACGTCGTTTTTCCAGTACCACCGTCACCTACTAGTACACATTTGAAAGTTGGAATCTCAACATTTTGTGCCATTTGTGCCATACCGATTGTTAGACCACAAACTGTTGATGCGACAAAAAGAGATCTGAAAAAGTAACATTTATATATAAAAACTGATCAGCTAGATGAGAGTAAAACCGAATGCAAAAGAGAAATGTATTGTCGATTAGGTTATTATAGATACACTAGAAAATTAGAATAGTCCGATACTTGGAAGTTGCTGGAAGATACTAGATCGAAAATCACGCATCGAAAACGTGATCGAGGTGTCTGTTTTTTCACTATATTTGTAATTATTTAAAAATAATACGTTATATCTCGATTATAATATGAACACACCTATCAAAATACTACTTTGTCGTATCTTTTCTAGTAAATTGCAAGGCCGGTTTATCGTTAACGTCCCGCGCTCAATGTACAAAATTTACCACGTTCCGCTAAAAGAATGGCGCCTCTCGTTGTAACACAAGCTTTCGCGTTAATCTTGTCACGCGACTACACGTAATTTTGATAGAAATCGCAAAGAATCGAACAAACCGACGATAGATTTATTATGAATCTATGAAAATCGGAGAATATTTGTACAAAATTTCCCGGCAAGTAACGTGTACGTGAAAATGACCGATAAAATTTACCCTGCAACACAGTCGTTACGGCTCACAATGGCGTTCCTTCGAGTCGACGACAGGGGTCCGCATTTTCATCATTCGCTAAGTAGAATATCATTCAATTTAACGAATGTATCTAATCGATACGCTATGAAAAAATTAAATTGGAATATTTTTTCGTCTAAATCATTAAAATAATATGTAAATCGGTGGTTTTTTTTAAATTATAAGTAGAAAATGACGTAAGTCAGCGACATCTATTTTATGCGCGCCACACCGAGCCGGTATCGAAGAATTTCAGTTTTTAACGGGAGAATTAATACGTATACGTATGCGTATACGTGGAAGGATGCATTGGCGCACATTAGGCGGCTAAATTTGAGTGCACACGTCCACGTTAACCTTCCGTCTTTTTCCCAATGGTTTCCTTTCGTTTTCGTTTTCTTTCTTCCGTTTCGATAGAAATATATAACACATCAAAACGTAGATCGTAAGATTCGCGTTTGTCGTATCAAAGTGTCTGATATTTTTATGGTTGCTTTGATAACGGAGATTCGCTCGCTTTTTTTGTTTTATTTAACGAAACAGAGTATTGCGGACTTCGAAGAATATTCACGTACGAAGGCGACAGATTCAAACATATATCGATAAATTGGAGAAAGAAGAAATCGAAAAAGTTCCGAATTTTACGTTGGTGGCTGAAATATAGATCAGTATGGAAAGGAAAATTCTTAGAGTAAATAAATGGTAAAGGAAGTAGAGGGGGGAAATGACGAAGGTGGGGCTACGTCGAGGTCTAGATTCGGTCCTGAGTATAGTTGACGTCAGCGGCGCATGCGCAACAGAACGGACGGCACTGCAGAAGCAGCCGAGTTCGCGAGTGTATCGATTTTACGATCGTGTCTCTCGCCGCTAGTGCGTCCGTTTCCTTTAGTTTTTAGTGGTCGTGCTCATAGTACATGGATAAAATCGTGAATGGGATTAGTCGCTAGTCTCATCGTTCCGTACACCCGCTGACTCGCAACACTTTGCCACCCTCGCCATGACCAAGGATAGATTAGCAGCCCTCGTTGCGGTGAGTTTTCAAAAACTAGCTATATTTTTTTCGAAATCAAGCCGAATCGCCGAACGGTCGACGACAACTTGCCCGTCTACTTTTTCCTTCCTTCTACCTTCCTTTTTTCTGTGGTTTTCTCTCTAGTTTTCTCTAATTCATGCGCGCTCTCTCTCTTACTCCTGCAAATCTCAGTTTTGTTAGTGTCTGTTTGTAATTCTGTTACTCTGACTCTCTGCATCGTTCGTATTTTGTGACGTTCGAAGAAACGATATTCTCTCGCGATATATATGCACTTATAATATATATGTATATATATATATATATATATTTATATATATATATATATATATGTATTTATACTTGTAATATAGTACATCGTCGTTTCATTCGACGACTTCAAATAGTTCCTTTAAAAACACCAATCGTCAAATGAATCGATGCTCGTTTACTGGTAAAATGGAAAGAAGGCGTTTCCGAGATGTCTACTTGACTGTCAACTATTCGGTAGTTGAACAGAGAGCGAGAGCGAGCGAGTGAGCGAGCGTGAGAGTTGAGAAAAGAGGGAGAGAAAGAGAGAGACCAATGCCTCCTGTGACTGACAGGTGTTTGCCAATATATGTTTTTCGTCATCGTTTATTTCATAACGATGACAGAGTTCTCGATGCCGGTACAAGTACATTCAGGCGGTCACTTTCAAATGGAAGATTCATTCTTCCGGATGACGTTCGAGCATTGTGATACAATATACAATGTTCCGGGTATTGACGAGTATTTTTATAGTTTCATTGGGAGGTGACCGGTCGTACGTAGGAATAGAGGTGTCGGTGTCGATGACTCAGAGGCGCCGACTAATACTCACGAGAACCTGCTACATATGTATTTGGGCGTACCTGAGCCCATCGGTTACATTCGACGATCGTTTTCCTATTTTTCTTCTTTCGTTTGACTTCAGAAAGAAAGAAATCAGTGGTTTCTAATTACGATAAACAATTGCCCTACGAACAATCACCCTCATCCCCACGCTCTCCCCCCTCCCTTACATATATTCCGACCAATCGTGAGAATCAACTTGCTTTGTTATCTGTCTTTTTTTTTTAGATGTTAATTATACGCGGTTGTCGCGCGTATTGTCCAATACCGTGCAAGGAACAAATCATTCGTGTTCAAATTTATTTCTCGATCGTTTGTCGCGTTACGTAGATAGTATATGTGTAGTTTGTTTAGCGTGCCTAGCTGCGTTAGACGTTGCGTTGTGTTCTAATTCTTTCTTCTTCAACGGCCTGGATTTTCGTACGAGAATGCGTTCACGATCGAAACACTTGGAAACCGGTGAATCGTACGCTCGACTTCTAATCGAGTTCTCCTTATTTTTTGATACAACTGAAAATAGTAGTCAAAGTGAAGAATCGCATAAAAAAATAAGAAGTAAATAAGATGTATGTATATCGTAATATTTGTTAAAAAGGGATGACACGAACATGCGCTTGTTGCGTCTGCATAGGTTATGCCGTATGATAAAAGCAGTAGCAGTAGAACTTGTTCGGCATAGTTCGGTATTATCCAAAAATCAGCTATTAGAGTTTCGAAAAGAAAGAATCGAGAAAGGACGGCCTACTTTTTCATTTTCGTGTTTTATATAATGTATCGTGCGATAATCTCGACATCTTGATATAATCTCGAGTAGGACTTCGAAACAGTGACGGATATAGAAATCTTTCTTGGGCGGAGGGCGAAATGTGAGAATTATAATAGGAACATATTAGTAATATTTGTAAATATTATACATAAATACATTATGAAACCTTTTTTTACCAGATTTAAAATTTGTTTGTAATTTCTATTTTAATATCTCTATCTGATACCGTAGTTGAAACAATTAGATTCACATTCGTTACATACTTAACACATTTTCTAAAATATGACAATATCGATATTTTTATATTTTATTAGTCGCATTTAAACAATTTGAAATTCAGTGAATTATGTCTCGCGACAAATTTTGCCAGGTCTGCATTTATTAGTTAGCTGTAGATAAATGAAGGAGGTACGAACAAAGAGTTAAGGAGGAGAGATCGATGAAAACGTACAATAGCTGGAATATAAAAATATATTCGCGTGGAGACGATTAAGCCTTTATAGTCGGATGTCGCCACTGTGGCGTCGTTTAAAATTTCTCATCAAAGTCGGATGTCGCCATAGTGGCGGTATTCAAAATTTATTTTCAAACTGTAAATGTTTATCGTTCGGTAATGGCGGTAGAAAAATATGCCGATTGCAAACAGCTAAAGTAGCGTTAGACCAGTTCCATGGTTTGAACGAGGATGAGATATAGGGCGTTTAAAGAGAACCAGTACGGACGAGATTTTCCGTTTGATTCGTATTTAGACATTGTTTGACACGTGTTTGAAAATACAACGAAGCTTTACGAGTATCGATCGTATTGGACTGACGATATAATTATCGGACGTTCTGTTTGTTAGTGGAGTAAAGGTATCGTATTATTCGATACGAAATGCAACACATATAGCAATTTGTTAATTGGAACGGAATAATGAGTATCGTATCGGTCACGAGTAAAATACAGCAGTATCGATGTGACTGGTCTTTCGCGTCCTTTCTCATGATCGTGTCTTCCATGCTAATTCGTCGACGCGAATCTACACACCACGAACTGTTCTTCGGCAACTTGTCGTCGGTTGACATCGCGAATCGGTCTTTCGAAAATGTACCGTTCACAGGTCAAAATGTTTACTTCCATTTTTGGAAATTTTGCAGGACTTTGTGCTAAAGCAGTCGATTGATACTTATCTATAGTAATATTGTAAATAGAGAAAGCCTCTACGTAGGTATATGTGTATGCCCGAGGTAATCTCAGAAACTATTCAATCGATTTATATAATTCCTTCACCGTTGGAAGGTACATTTCCTCCAGATGGACACAGACTATATCTTATTATACGCTGCTGCTTAACCGTTTGAGTCGCAAGCAGCGCGATCGCGCTGTTTAGATTTTGCGTCGAAAAGTCCCAGTACATTCGAACGCTACGAACGACTGATGGTATTTTGTACTTTATATTTTGTACTTAAATATTTATAAATTAATAGTACGCATATACAATAATATAGGCGTATTTCATAAAATAACAAATATGATGAGAGCTATTGCGCCGCTTGTTTCTCTTTTTAATCGATTAAGATTTTTCTACCCTGTTTTTTCAAACACCTCTGCCATTCAAACGGTTAAGGAAGCGAACAATGAGCGTAGATGCGACTCAAGTCGGATTAGCGCAGCTTGGTTTTCACTTCACGATTGCGTCTTGCTCGACCGACGGTCGGAAAACACTTCCCTACAAATGTTTCTCGAATACCATTTACCATATCGATCTCTATTACAAACGACGGTGAATCTAGAATCGCTAAATTAAATTCCAGCTAGTCTTTTATAATTTCATCGACTTGGTCTACTTTTTATTTCCTGCAGTTAACACTTTACCGACCGATAGCAGATTAATCGGTTTTTTGTCGCCTACGCTTACCGACTGATGGCCTATAACAATCTTTCTCATTATTTGAGCAGTAATTTGTTATTTAATACTAAGGTACCTTGCTCAGTCGCGTCAGTGCGTAGCTGTACGAACCGCTAGCGGTCAGTAAAGTGTTAACCGATTTGGCGAATAAACGGCTGAAATATGTATCAACCGATCGATCGCTGGTATGTACACGAATTGAAAACAACGTAATCCGAAAGATGCTGACTGGATGATGGACGTTGATCGCTCGTTCGATGCACGCCAGTGCAAAAACCAAATCGACTATTAACGAATACTTTGTTGATTTGTTTCAGGCCCAGTCGGACGACGATGACGTGGCGGACGATGTTTCCGTCAACGTTGGCGGGCCGGATGATTTTATGACCGAATTTTTCGCGGAGGTAAGTATACAATCTGTACAACTGCGGACGTGAAATCTCGTTTCGAAAGAGACTCTATTTCCCAGCATGGTATCTCATCGCCAAGAAACATGCTTTCTTCCCTTTTTCTTTCTTTTTCGTTTCCTCGATCTATTCTCCGACCGATCTCGTCTATTCATCTCGCCCCCTGTCTCCCTCTTCTGTCTCTTTTCCCAATTATTTCACACAACCGCGAGACAATACGTAGCAGCGTATTATACGTACGCGATCGAGGGCGATTAAGCGGCAGATCGAAAGTTCACGTAAACGTTAAGATCGGCTATGATCGAATCTATAGATTCCTGTTGTCTAGACGATCGGATTCCATCTGTTGAGCGATTGGGTGGAATTATTCTTTTCAAAGTCGCGAACAGCGGTCGCATTGAGACGTAAACGATCTGTACGCAAGTTTACCAGTTAAAACAATTGACGAATTCGTCGTCGGACTCGCAGATCAGAATCCGAGAGATCGAAGTATCGTTGTCGCGCTCGCGTGTTTATTTCGACGGAATCGCGATATCGATGGAACGAAATTTATCAACTGCGGTATGCGTATGAAAAGTGATTTACGTATCGTAAGCGCAGGAAGGCGTCCTACTTGATCGGCATTTCTATTTGACGCGGTTCCATTGATTCGTCGATGAACGAGGGAACGCAGTTACAAAGGAGACGCGACCAGTCGTCGACAAACGAGCTCACGTCGATATCGAAACGCAAGAAAATTTCTGTTCGGATGGTTTCGTCTCGATATTGGAGAATTAGGTCGAGATGACTCCGAGCCGAATGGCCATATCGCGTCACCTATCGCGTACAAAATGTATCAAATATTTCAAGCCCCGTATTCGCATCCATTCTGTCTGCACGTTGTTCGCTGCGCGATTTTCTCATTGGGTCGCGTTACTCGTACGCTCCTGTTCATAGGTGTTAGGACACTTATTGGTTTCATAGGAAACGCGACAATCAATCTAATGTATCAAGAAAACGATTAATCGATCAGAATTTTATAATCATGCAAGGATACAAATTTAGAAATTTGTTTCAATTATGCGAAAGAATGAACGCAGTACGGTCAATTATATCTAACAATTATTATCCTTTTTTAACTTAAATTCTATCGAAAAAATCGAAGACGAATTGGATAGGATAGCAAAGTGCGAATACGTTTTGTATTGGATTGGAAACTAAGTGATTGCGGACTTTATCATTACCACCTAATGACAACATCCGCGATCACTTAGTTGCCAACCCAGTAGAATCATTTACAGCATATCTCATGGCAAACAGCAAAAAATACGAACGTGAAAATGAATGAGAACGATGATCAAAGAATATAATTATTTGCTACATTAAATCGACGAGACTATCGTTAAAACATGGAATATACACAAATGGATCCGAAGGGATGGTTGGATACGTGTTCGATTCAATCACAGAGTATAGTTTTGCAGTGGTACATTTTTACGTTGACGCGTGTACGTTCCGTATTCGTCGGAGGCTGCACCTCTGCGTTTCCTGTTCGCGGAGAATTTCGTACGTTTTGTATGGTTAATGTTGTTAGCGGAAGTTGGTAGACGTAAGGGGATTTTCTTGGAGCCCGAGGATCGCGACTTGATCGACCGTATGGACCGGCCTCGCGTGGCGAACTCTTTTTGCAAAATTAACACTTTACCGACCGATAGCCGATTCACCGGTTGTCACCGACGTTTACCGACCGATGGCCTATTTAATCAGCTTCTTGTCGCCGACGATCTTTCTCATTATTTGAGCAGTAATTTGTTATTTAGTACTAAGATACCTTGCTCAGTTGCGCTGCTTTGTAAGCTGCCACAATTTTATATCAATTTGAAAAACGTACCGTTCGCGGTGAACAAAAAGAATGGTATTGGAGAGTCTAAACCGAAACAGAGGCAGCGCCAGGGAGAATCTGCGCCTGAGATGCCGGTCGGACGTGCGTATGCTGTTGAATCGCTAGCGGTCAGTAAAGTGTTGAATAGTTTCGGACTCGGTGTTTATGACACCAGCGATTTGCTATTAAGGGCGCCGTAAAATATTTCAGCGAAATCACGCAACCAAGGAAAGTTGTTTATTGGAAGCTAACGGCTTTCTCAAAGATAGCTTTGAAAATAGCTTCGCTGATAAACCGTGCTTGCTAGTCGTTTGCATGACAATTTCCTGTTTTGTTCGTGCAACTAGTCGCTACGGATCTTTTATAGTCTAACGTTTCTTATTGAAGTTCACGTAGGTATCGTAATAATAATAAAGGGTGGCGTACGTCGATACTCGATGTGAATCATCACACCGGAACAAACGTTGTTTGGGAAACGTAAAATGGAAAAATACGAACGATCGGAATCCAACGCGACTCGATACCACGCACCTACGCATTACCGACAATTCGATGTAGGAAATCAGTGCAAATAAGATCCTTGACATTTACGTTCGTTGCTATTTGCGTGGGCTCGTATTAACTCTGACCGCTTGTTTCGGTATCCGATCTTTTTTATTCTACAGCGCGTGGGAAGAGACAATTTTAATAAAGGTGAAACATCGGTGCGAATCGTTACCGTAGAAACGACATATCAACCACTTGTCGCCTTTTATCTTTTCGAAAATAAAATCAGTTAAATCTGCCTTTTCTCCTACTGGACGAGCGCGGCCCTACAACTTTCAACGATCTTATCGACCGATGTTAAACGTTTTACTATTCACGTATGTTACGAAGAAGTAGCTACTAACCGATTTACTCTTTAAGTTCTGTGGATTTGCCTTCGTAATTTCACATTGCCTTTCACGTTGCCTGTGAAAACTACATATTATTCAAACGAGTTCACCATCCATTGCATACTTTTCCTTCCTTGCTGGATTATTTTCCGTTCTTCTTTCTCGTCGTATACCTCACGATCGATAGTTCATATTTTTCAATGTATTCTTCCTCATTACTCTCTTTTTCTATTTGTTTTCCTTCCTTCGTTTCTGTATCTTCTTCGATTTTTACCGACACCGCTACGTGGTTTAACGTCTTCTAATTTTTTCATAGGTGGAGGAGATCCGCGAAATGATAGACAGGATCCAGACGAACGTAGAGGATGTGAAGAAAAAACATAGTGCCATCTTATCGGCACCACAAACCGACGAAAGTGAGTTCCAACGGTCTCTCCTTAATCTTATCCGTCTCGTGCATCGATCGCGCAAACCATCGCGCGAGAGATCCAAATCAAAATTGTTCCATCGTTGGATACGTTTAATCGCTGTTTGTAGAACGCAGACGGCCAATTTTCCGTAGGATCAAATCTGTTTGATTCCGGCTGATAAACGATCCGCAGAAAATAGCTGCGTTGCAACGAGTATGGGAAAACGTGTACGAGTCGAACGCGAAGGATTGTACGTCGTTCGTCCAGTCTTTCGGAAATGGTGGTTAGACGAGCAAAGGAACAGAATTGGACGGGTAATAAAGAAAGCCAGCGAAGCAGAAAAGGAAAGACGACAGGGGAAAAGAACGGAACGGTAGAACGACAAAGATCGTTAGAATCGTCCAATACGATTGATCTTACCCTCGTTGCTATCGTAACTGTCCACTCGGCACTTATAATTAGAGATTCGTTGCTTATAATACTTTTTCTTCTTTTACTAATCTCTAACGATGCTCGATTACCGGCGTTCCGGTTATTCGGCGAACCGATCAGTTCGATCCCATCGTTCCGGCTGAAATGCTTGCTGAATGCGGCTGATCTCTCTTCGGATCTACATATGTATTGTATATAGGAAGCGATATAAATAGCAGGATTATGTTCTCCTACGTCCGAGGATGGATATAATCGACAGAATGAGAATGCGATTCGTGTTTCCTTGTATTATTAGAATTTTCGAATATAAAGCGAACTCCTACATCGATACACCGAGCAGCGGAGAACTGATCTTTCGATTTCGGTAGACCCGTCGATATATGTGAAAAAATCCTTATCGATCGTTGGAACGATTTGTCCAGTGTACGCGAGCTATTTTATAGGTTAGGAGTCGAGGCATCGGGGAAATAGGCAGAACAACGAGGGGAGGAGGAGAACCGAAGGATAGTAGAGACGCGAATGTGCGCGCGCGATGATTCACGAAGAACGGAGATGAACACCGTGAACGACCAAGTCGAGTGACGTTGTTCGTCGCGAGAAACTGGAGAGGACGACCGGATCGATGCACCACGAGTGCACACTGCACACACGTACTTACTTTTACGTCTGACATCGGCTGACTTGGAAGCGTTCTAGCGAAAAGATCGATCGAGCTCTCTTGCTCCTCGCGTATCTCGTTTCAAAACGAAAAACGAAACCGACGACGGTTTTCTCATCGCCGCTATCTCTATCGATCTATTTCTTCCCACGTGCTCGTACGATGCTTGATCACGGTCGTGGAGACGTGAAACAGCGTCTGCACCGTCCTAAAACGGTCAGATGGCTTCGTTCGCCGAATACGATCAAAACGCGATTTAGATTGGGTTTAGATAGCATCGAGTCGATTTTCTAGCTGTCGGTTACACGAGCAGCGTGCCACGATCGCGAGAAGCGCTTGTTATCGAAAGGTTGTATCGAAGATCGTCTGTCGCGTATCCCGATAGAACGGATTCGTTCGAATAAATAGGTCGCTGAATGCTGGTTGACGAAGCGGTAGTTCGATTTTATCATTCGCTGTGCTGCTCGTTACGCTCGATATGTACAATTCGTAACGGAAGCGTTCCATATGGAAACGCGTTTGATAAATCGCGGACGAGAATGCCGGGTCACGCACGAGTTTGCCGAAATCGGAAGCGTCCGAGAGATCGATATCGCGTCGCGTTCGTCGTTTGGTCGTTCGAGAGAAAAGAATGGCGGCAAGAAAGGGAAGAGGAAAAGAGGAAATTTTTCTGGAACAGGAAACGCGCGCGTCATTCGATCGAATTCAAGCGTCCCGTGTCTCCCGGGCGTGCCGAGTTCTCGAGAGGCTTTGGAAGTAGGTCTGGCACGTTTCCACCCCGTATTAACCCAATTCCATCGAGCACCCTCGACGCAGGAGAATGCGCGCGCCCGTCGCGTCACCTATGAGAACGCGTGCACAGCCGGCGACTAATACTAGCGGAATCCAATTCAATGTCGAATACAAATTCGATCGGAGATACGATCTTGGAAAGATCTCGATCGGTCAAAATGTTTTCCTTTCTTCTCTGTACGTCGTTCGACCACGTCTCTAGGCTCGAACCTCGCTTTTTAACTAGTATCAGTAGGTACTTATATATATGTCGAGTTCTCATTGAGGTTACGGGCGTGTAACAAATCTTCATTTGGACTAGCCATTGTTGTTATACAATAGAAATGATATTTACTGGTACAAATATGATTATTACAGAATTTGAACCGTGGTGATTAGATACTCGAGATGCTAGTGACAATGATCTTAGGTTCGATAACGAATCCACGGTCAACGGGATAGCAAATGCGCTTTCTTTCAAAGTCCTTAGTCGAGCTTAACTTACTTGTCCACAATTCAAGCGTAACTCAACTTACTTATCGACGGTACAAGTAGAACTAAACTAACTCAGTCCAAGTGGAACTGCACTTATATGCTTTTCTCTGTACCACTCGAGTCAAAGAATGTTCGCTAGAACGCTCGGTATTAACTCGTAAAGACGGTATGTAACTCGCTGATGAGATCGCATGCGATTGCGAGTGATGAAACTCTCCTCTCCTTACGACCGCGTTCGTTTATATTATATTGTTCGAGGGGGTACCGATAAAATTCCAATCGCCTTTGTTAGACGGTTGCACGTTAGCGGCGACATTGTTTCTGTCCGGAGTTCGATTATTAGTACAATATGTGTGTGTTCTACTATATTGATACTCCGAGGCAAAACCACGCGTGGCTTGATTTGTCTACGTGTGCCGCCAGAACTATATTTTTAAGGAGAGCTATACAACCACTCCATACCTCTGTTAGGTAAAAACATCCGTCTCGTGACCGTGGCTACGTTTACCGACCAGTTGTGTCACTTCGAGCCCAAGCCTACTGTCATAAATCTCAGCCAAACATAATCCGATTAAATCATAAACAACTACTTCTAAGTTTCGTTATTTAAGTACAACTATAATAAAAAATCTAGGTTAAAGTATTGGGGATGTTCCCAAAAATTCCAAAAGGAAGGCCCCGATGTCCTTTCATCACCGACATATAGATAGATACGTAGACCACATAGGTGTATGTTGTACGTATGCATAGTACGTACGCGACACGACATGGATAGCGTACGACGGATATGGTACGTTTTAATAAACGCGCGATAATTGGCGATACGGTTCCGTGCGGTTGGTGGAATTGATCGGGCAACCCTGTCGATGAATGACGAACAGGGATGAGAAAGGGGTTACAGGGAGTATCCGGTGACAACCGGGTCAGGTGGAAAAGACTTTGCCGATGACAGCAGGAAATACCGATCGAGTGGAATCGTGTCGTTGCATTTTTGCTTTCCTCCGTTTCGGGTCCTAAGGAGTCGCCATCTGTCGCGTTCTCTCGTTCAGGCAATTAACTCCGAACGTAAACGTAACCGAAACTCAGGCATTTGCCACGAGAGAGCTTGAAAAAAACGTAGACTATCTGGTTTCGATACTTTCGACGTATCTCGAGCGATACTTTTACGCGTCGAAAGAAGAATTATGGGCTGTTGACGAGTTGCTCGTGAATTCATGGAAAGGGACGTATCGAGAAACGTGGTTAAACGATGGTAAGATACTTAGATAACAGAATGAATCAAGTTTTTGTTTTCTCATTGCAGAGGTTAAAATGGAATTGGAAGACCTGATGTCCGATATCAAGAAAACGGCCAATAAAGTCAGAGCTAAGTTGAAGGGTAAGAGACAGAGCCTAGATAGGTGCGCGACGAAATGAATGCAAGCCTTTATACAAATATCGCGTAACGTTAATTCATCCAATTGCGAGATTTACTTTAAAAGTATGTCTATAACTATATACGTACGATGGCCGTAGTTAAATCGACCGTGCGTTGCGAAAAGCCGATCGAACGCTTGATTCTTGATCATGTCTTGCCCTGATTTGGGGGTGTATTTATAGTGTTAACAGAGGTACGCGTGGCTTTTGTCTCTGGACGCGCCAACATCGTTCTTCGGCTTGAATGAACGCGCGTGTAAATTTTCACGCACAGATTGCACGCGGAGGTATTTGTGGTGAAAGCCACGGGCACCTCTGCTCGCTATAAATAAAAAATAGTCGCGTTTTGAGAAGACAGGCATGTTGTATATATGGTTTGGACTGTGTCCGCTAGCCGACTCTGTTTTGATATTATGTTTCCCATGTGGACAGTGATAGAACAAAATATCGAGCAAGAAGAGCACACGAACAAATCTTCGGCGGATTTGAGGATACGCAAGACACAGCATTCGACGCTTTCGAGGAAGTTCGTCGAAGTGATGACGGAGTACAATCGAACGCAAACCGATTACAGAGAACGGTGTAAGGGAAGGATACAACGACAGCTGGAAATCAGTAAGCGAGGATCATTGCTTGTATCCGTATATCGTATAAGAGCACGTAATTGACCGCGTGTTACGCCTTATGTTAGAGTTTAAACGACCATCGGTTTCTACTTTTAGCCGGTAGGACGACCACCAACGAGGAACTGGAGGAAATGCTGGAACAGGGAAATCCGGCGGTGTTCACGCAGGGGGTAAGCGTTTCGTTTCTTCGTTTCTACATGGATCGAAAACATGGTGCTGTATCGAGACGCGTTTCTCGCAGATTATCATGGAAACGCAACAAGCGAAACAGACGCTCGCCGATATCGAGGCGCGTCATGCCGACATCATTAAACTAGAAAATTCGATCAGGGAACTTCACGATATGTTCATGGACATGGCGATGTTGGTAGAAAGTCAGGTAAGGTCCGCGACGTAACGTCGCAGTTGTTTAATCGTCCCCCAGTTCACCCTCCGACTTTGCTTTCCACAGTTTGTCTTTTCGGTTATTCGTTATCATATTGCATCCATTTTTTGTTTTGAAAAATGTTTCCTCTTGTCTTTTCGTACGATAGTCTATGAGCGTAGAAACAGAAAGTCTCGGTATTTGCATAGTACTTTTGTCAGCTGCTACTTCTGCACGTCACCGCTACGTTTGTTTATTTCGATCGTTCGTTAACGTTCCTTCGATACGCTCACGCGATACCGAGATTTTGATATTTATCGTCGTTTTGTTACTTAAAATCGCATTCGTTTGCGTTAGAGGTAAGTATAACATATACGGGTGGCAAAGTTTAACGAAGCACACGGAAGTACTCGGGAGACGGAGAAAAGGATGAATTTTAAGAGGGGCGTAGCGCGAACCATGTAACTTTTCTTTCGCGGCCAGCTTCTTCTTTGCCAAACACATCGGCTATTCGCTTTGATCTAGTTTTTGGTGTTTGTCGAGTTCGCTAACGCGGCGGCCATTGACAGAGCTTTCTCGCCAGTTTTCTTGACCGCGACCGGCTAACGAGGAAGAATAGGTCAATGGCCGTTGTTGGTAAATTAAAGATGCATGCTATACCAGCGAACGACTAAATAAATAACAGTAATAACGATATTATCGATATTAACACGACGATAACGTCAAATCTTTTATCTTTTCTTTTTTTTTTTTTTATCAAGCAGAGAAATGTAATTAGCAAGTTTTGGACAACTCTAGCTCGACTCGTCTTCGTGACTTCATTTTTTTTTTTTATTATCGTCGTGGCTATGGTTCTCTCTCTTTTTCTTTCTCGTCGTTTTCCCTGTTCCGTGTGTAGCGGTGCATGAGAAAAATCTTGATCTTAATCGTTACTCGGCTTTTAACCGACTATACAACTAACATCGCTCTCTCTCTTCCCCTGTTACGCTGTGTGGATTCGCGCCACGCACCTACTTTAGGGCGAGATGATAGATCGCATAGAATACCACGTGGAACACGCGGTGGACTACGTGCAGACGGCTACGCAGGACACCAAAAAAGCGCTCAAGTATCAAAGCAAAGCTCGACGGGTGAGTCCTCCCCAGATCTCAAACCATCGATCTTTCGTTCGCGTCTAATTGGTCACTTTTTGTTTTCTCCTTTGATCCCCTGTCTCCCCCTCTCTATCATTCACGACGACTCTCTTAATAACCTTTGTCCCTTCTCCTCTGCCTATCCACTCTTACTTCATCGCGTTCATCCACGTATTCGCGGTTCTCTTTCATCCTGTACATTTTTACGCTACTATGTGAAACCTTTTACGCTTTTTGGTTTATCTGGTGCGCCTTTACGCGTATGCTTACTATTACTACTATCACTCCTATTACTACTATTACCATTATTACTACTACTATTACTGCTACTACTGCTACTACTATGACACGACATCAAATAACGACGACGCTTTCTCTGTCGTTTCCGTTACCACATTTTGTACAATCGAAACGACGCTCGCGCGCATACTTACACACCTATGTGCGTTCTTACGTTCGATGTGCATTTATGTATTACGATGTATGTATTACGCGTCCTTTACCCACTTTGATTGTTTTCTCTACTTTTTCTATGTGCGCGCGCGTATATATATATATGTGTGTGTGCGTGCCTCTGTGTCTCTCTACTTGTGTCGCTCTGTCCTACTGAAAATGAGTGTGCTAAATGTGGCTCTTATTTGTACTACTAAAATCTCACGTACTAATCTGTGCTCTCTAACCGTCTAACTCTTGTTTACGATTGGATTTGTGCGTACACGCGCGTGTACACCTGTCGGTCATATGCGAAAACACAACGTGTACACGCGTTTTACGTTGACGGGCGTGAAACTTTGTTTGGGATGGCGTCGCGGCTGTTTCTTACCCGCGGGGTGATGGCGCTGCCGATACGCTGCGACGTGTGCGGTATATGGTGTACCGCGGTGTGTGGCTTCGCTCATGGTGTGTTTACCTCTATCTGTGCACGCTGCTTATGCGTATACGTACGCTCGTCGTCGGATCCGATTACGTTCGCGTACGTATACGTGTAAACGCACATGAACACGCGTGCGACGAAGCATAACGATTAACTTTGGGTACATCCTTGTTGGAGGCGATCCACCGGTTACCGTTGCGATTCCTTTTCGTCCCGTTCGATCTCGCTCCCCGAGGTCCCAATCGCCATGCTCCGGTCCGCACCATCTCTTCCCGTTGTTCGTTTCCATCGGTCCCATCCGTCCTATTCCTGGTACGGCACGTCAGGGTGAGTTAGTGGACCGCATTGAATACCTCGTGGATCAAACCGGCGACCACGTTGGCCAAGCCTGGGAGGAGCTGATCAAGGCCGAGGAGTATCGAAGCAAAGCTCGTAAGGTAAACGAATCGAATCGATAACGGTTGATCGCCGCCGGATCGCTTTCGATAGAAAGAACGATCGATAGGGGCGATAATTATCCAGCGGCGATCATCGATAGTTGTTCCTACTTCGTTATAGGAGGAACGAGGGGTGGAAGCCCCGAGGATTTCGTGGCCAAAACACGAGACGACAGCAACCAGTCGACGCATATCTTTCTCTCGATATCTCGCGATTTCTTTCTTCTCTCTCTTTCTTTCTTGCCTTCCTATACCTCTGTTTCTCCTTTCTTCTCTTTCTTCTTTCTCCTCGGTCGTATCCGTATTTCTCCGACGATGACGACAACGACGACTCCTTTCGTCGACGTCCGAAGCCACTCGTTCAGTGTTTGCCTCGCGACACGGATCATCGTACGCGTTAATCGCTTACTCTGGCTTTGCGAATTTCTTTTTCAAAGCGGTGGCAACGGATCGTGTGTCGTGTACGAGTTTCTTTCTCTATTTACGTACGTTCTCTCTCTTTCGCTTTGCTTTTGTTCGACTTTTCGATGTCGTATGTCGTGTGTCGTGCAATACGTTCGAGCGCAGAGCTGACGCCGGCGTAGATAAACGTATCAACAGCATGTGCAACGTAAAGGTACGTCATCGGCCGCTTCTCTTCTTGCTTGCGAACAGTCGCAAACTTCCATTTTTAGAATCGAAGCTGACGCAACAGTTCGCGCAGAAACGCGTGTTTCACCTATTTTTTTTTCCTCTCTTTACGTTTCCCCTTCCTCTCGACTCAAACCTTGATAATCTCTTCTTTCGTTCAGTATTATCGGTCGCGATCTCGATCTCGATCTCTGTCTGCTTGCCTTGCCTGTCTTCTTCTCCTTCGTGCTCTCCTTGTTAAGTGTGCAAGAACCGATGCGTCTGCCGCTTTCTCATCGAACCGTGGTAACGACACGGCGCAACGTTTCTCTACTCCTCTGGTGATTTCTGCACTTTGCCCGCGCTTCGACGGATTCGTTCGTCGCTGTTTCGCCGGTTTCTCACACGAATCGTATCTTTTTTTTTTCTGTCCACAGAAAATGATCTTCATCGTAATCTGCGTGTTAATATCGGTCGTGATATTAATCGCCATAATAATAGGAAGCGTTCCGAGCTAAAGAATTCGAGAAACGCGCGCTAGGAATTGGGTAATGGGACACGATGCGATACTCGGGATTTCGGAACGCGTGTGCGACGCTTGACCGACGCTTCGATACGACACCAAGAACAGAGGAAGAGCGCCGATCGAACAAGCGACGATAATAGGCGCGCGAGGAAACAAGCGAAGAGACAAAGAAGCGCAGCTAGAGAATATTATACTCGTGGTAAACGGAGTGGTTGGTCAGCGACGCACGTAATTACGTATATAAAGAAATAGATGACGATGACGATGACAAGAAACGAGTACACGTTCGTCGAAGGATTTCGGAATTCGCCGGAGGATTTCGGGTTTGCCGCGTTTCTAAACGCTGTTGCGTAGAAGCAGATTGTTTCTAACGCGCGAACGCAGGCGCCTCGTTCTTGGCAAGCGGAACCAGCTTCGCTATTTTCCTCCGAGCTCTTGTTTCCCCTGGCTCTGGTCTCTAACACCTAAAAACGAAACTTGTTTGTTGTTCGTAACGCAATAACCTTCATTAACCCACAACCGCTCGTCTCACTAACGCGCCAATCTTTTTCTATTCGCACTCTGATCGCCGACTCGCTCTTGTGCCCTCTCGCGCGATCTCTCGTAACATCGTAGAATCGGTGCGCGCGAGATTCTAAAGTAGAGTAGAATCACTGCGATAGCTCGAAAGGAAAGAGGGCAGCAGCGGAGTCGGCGATTCGAGCGCCTCGAATCAAACTCTCGCGATTCTTCCTCGTCGTGTAACGAGTTGGTCGCACGCCCTCTGTGGCGATCGTATCGGCTTCTCGAGCATTGGCCCGAGCTCCAACTTCTCAACCGAGAATTCTCTTTCGCGGCTCTGTTCTTGGATGCGCTTTGTGCGTTCATCGAGTGACAGCAATGTTGTATTTTGTTCGCAGAAATTGATGTTCATCGTAATTTGCCTGACAATAGCGATCATCATTCTCATAATCATTCTGGTATATGCGTTGTAAGAAGATAGATCGACGATACGAGGATTTCAGTGAAGCGGTACGAAAGCGAACACGAAAGTGGACCATGAAAGAAAAGTAAAAAAAAAGACAAAAAAGAGAGGAAAGACAATGTTTTCGTTGAATGGCAGGGCACACACACACACCCAGCCACCTCGCAGAAAAAGGTCGCGAACTAGCAACAGCTGCGGCGTTTTCGCGTACACGCGTCGTCATACGTTTCGAAAGCGAACACGCCGGACGCTGTCGACGATTTACAAATACTCGCACGAGTTCTCCTCGTATTCGATTCGTTTGCTCGAGAATCGCGTGCGCGGTCGATGCTAAGTGCGCGCTCGTGTGCGACGCCATTTTAAACGTCTTCCCCGATTTTCTCGTAACCGTGTCCAGAATTATTATGAAATTTGTGTATTTCCAGCTGCGTACAAAAGTCGCGTATAAAAGTGGTCGCGTAGCACGCGTTCCCGTGGCTCGTCGAAGGTACACGGAGGTCGATGATGAAACCAGACGAC